AATGTTCATGGTTTTGCACTGGTCCAGACCGGAGCGGAGAGGATTGAACCAATCAGGATCAGGCGAAAATCCACTGGAGAAATGCTAACTTTTAGAAAAATGCTAATGAAGCTTTCAGCATTTTACAGAGCAGAGAAAATGGTCCAAACCAAGAGGCGACACCACCTCTACTTCTGTGACCTGAAGTGCTGCACCATTTTATTATTACCATTGCTAGCTTTTTAGAATGATCAATTTAATTGTTTTGTTTGTGGATGAATGCGTTTTTGCTGCTACTGAACACGTGAGTTTCTCCTACAGGGATCTATAAAGTGTCTTTCTATCTATCTGTTACATCTGTGAGGGTGAGGATATCTGAATGGAATGGGTAATACTGAATAAGGATATTTGAATAATTTTTGGATTCTCTCAATAACAATAATGTTCTAAATAGCTGCTTGTAAATGACTAGAACTGTCAGTTTTATTCTGGAGCATTTACAAATATGTCCCATCTTGTACATAATCATCAGATCAACAATTTCATCTTGTTGACAACTCAACTCTCCAACTGAATATTATTTTTATCGTACAATGCACACAATTATATACCTGTCATATCTGTAAGTGAAAGCCAACCCTGCATGTGAAGGCCAGATCCTTTCAAGCCTCTGAAGCTAAGCAGGGAGGGGCCTGGTTATTACTATGATGGAAACACTGTCATGGGTCTGGAGTTTGCGTGGATGGTTGGTGGTGATGAGAGGGGTAGACGGCTCAGACTGGTTGCCTCACTTCGGTCAGTGTTTCCCAGGGCAGCTGTGGCTACATAGGAGTTTATCATCTCTGTGTATGGAGTCAAAGAATAATGTGAAGTGTCTTTAAGTGTCCAAAGACGTGCTATATAAAACTGATGCATTATCATACATGTCCAGGACAGTACGCTTATGTCTCCTCAGTATTTGCATAAAACCTCTGTCCACGCTGTCCCCATTTGCCGCAGGCCTGAATATGGTAGAACAGCAATGTCACCCGCTCAGACAGTCAAATGTAATACCTGCATGAATCATACTGTCATTTCCAATTTATGAGGCAGCTTAGTATTCTGCACAGGGCGCTCCAGGACGGGAGAGAGAAGCTGACGCAAGCGCCAAAACATTGCTGTGCACCTGAACACACCACTTCCTAATTCTCCTGGACAAACTTGGCCTGTCGTAGCAAGACGCTTCTCCCCGGCCTTGTTTTACCCAAGTTTGACAGGAGTGGCAGTAAGTTTGATGCTTCTAATCCAGGAAACTTTTATCCCACGTGACGTCATCTTGAGAGACAGGCTGACTTCATTGGAGCAGACAGATTCTCCTCTCAGACCTCCAGTGAAATGGCCCACACACTGGAGGCTTGCGGCAGCTCTGAAGGGGAGTAGCAGCGGCAGGCGTCTGAGCTCCAGCCAAAACGATTGGCCGCTATCGATATCCCATTTCCTCCGTCACGTCTAAGCTGCTTTGCATTCAGCAGCTCTGCACTAAGCCCCTATGCTGTAGCACGGACAACACCTCCGCTACAATCATAGGCTCTTTTATTATCCCCAAACAAAAGCAGGCACACGGGGAATCTCCCAGCCCCGGCATTTTAATTGTGCTCTCTCCTATTAGGCAGGATGCTAACCAATTTGGCCTCGGCTGTTAAATTCCTCACACATGAATTCTCCTTTTGAACGTTTGGATCTCGTCATAATGGGTTTTATTACAGGCAGGAGATTGTGAGGAAAGCTGACCAAACATGGGACAGCAATCCTGGATAGTTAAAGTGTGTCCTGGTGAGCAACAGGAGCAGGACTCCATTGGACGATAGAAAGAGCCACAATGGCAGAATAGGGGTTTTTATAAATGCTTCAAACAAAGGCAATTCAAAGTCACGCTGAAAAGGTCAGTGTCTGGCAGAGAATGTGCGTTTTCACTTAGACAAACATCACCTTTTTAGTGGTAGAATTTCTTAACCCATTCTTCAAGCTTGATGCAACACACTGAAATGTTGATAAAAACATTTTTTGTGTTGTTCAATCGTTCTTTGTTGTCCACCTGATGAAAACTATTAATGAGCTGGTTGCATAAAGGTCCATTATCCTGCTGATGGATGACACACTTAGAGCTAATAGATCGCGGCGAACACTGTCTTATTGTTTCCTTTTCCCTTTGCTCTGTTTTGACTGCTCATCCTCAGAGTGAGTGAGGCTGCTCCCTAAAATGAAATCTGTTATATTGAGGCGCGGCGCATGAATGGAGGATGTCACCTCAGCATCCCACAATGATTTATTCCCGGTGTCTCCTCTCGCATTCATGCAAGCAAACATGTCCCAGATGCAAGCAGACATTAGAGTCCATTACTGTGAGGTACCTCTGTGTTTGTTCTCGACACGGCCCCAGAGCAAGGTCACTCCGCAGCGCACTGACGACTCCAATCAATTATAAAGCAACATGAAAGAGTCGCTGCTCCAATGCCGCTGGTGCTGCCACATACTGTACATGACTCACACTGTTTATGAAAAGGGTTTTTCTAGTTAGTCCTCATCAGTGTGTAGAAATTCATACTGCTCCATTTAGAAAGCGGCCAATTAGAGTCAATTAGAGTCAAATGATTAATAAATACTTGATTGGACCACACCTTTTTAGTAATGGCCACTGTTGTGTTATTAGGCTTTAGTTGTCAGCCGCTGGTCTAAAAGGTTGCCATGACAGGACATTGTAGCAGAGGGGCAGTGGGACATAAGTGCTCAAGTGTTTTGAATGGAACCCTCCCTCTGCGAAGTCAATTTCACAGCAGCCTCACGGAGAGCTCAGTGCTCAGAGCTGCTCCATTACTCCCAGCACATGAAGACTGCAGCTGTGTTCAACTAGATACATTTAGAAAACCATATCTCTCACCATCTCAACAACAGAAAAACAGATACACTCTAAAGGCAGGTCTAAGGCTAAAGTAGCTTTGTTTCTGTGTGGAGATGGCATCTTACAGGTAAATGCTTCATTCACTTCCAATGGGAGGAGACCAGGGGAAGTCCCAGGACATGTTGGAGGGACTGTGTCTCTCAGCTGGACTAGGAACACCGCTGGATTCTCCCAGATGAGCTGGAGACAGTGTGTGTGGAGAGGGAAGTTTGAGCGTCTCTACTTAGATTGCAAGGGATAAACCTGAATAAATGTAACATTGCCAATAGTTATATAATATTCTTGAGTTGGACCCTCAAACCACATTGTCTTATGGTGTGTGGCGTCAGTGGCCATAGGTTCAGAATCTGTGTGAGGCCATCTGAAAAGACATTTTAATAGGAGTTCCTCATCCCCATACACCTTATCCACAGTTAAGAAGAATAAAAATGTTTCGTTACAGTGAAAGAGTATAAAAATGTATTGCATCTCGAGTAGAAAAAGTGATTTCACCCCTGGGCGACCTTGATGATGAGCACATGACCTTGAGGAGCGTCTGATTTTTAGTTGTTTAAAAATGTAAGTGCTTGAAAAGCCGCTCAAGTGGAGATTCCTCCTGAGCCTAATGCACTCAGGAGCATGAAATGACATAGCCATCCTTCACACTGCTCAGTGAAAGTCCACTCTGAGGGTCGTTGGGAGCATAGCCAAACAAACCACTTTTATCCGCAGTGGCCACAGCACTAGTTTAGAAGTGGACAAACCCACAGACATGAACAGAAATGTCGAGGAGATGAAATATTAATATTATTTTGTGGTTTTGTTGGACGGTTGAGCATATAGGAGGCAGGGATTGAGTGGCTTTAGAGAGACTGATTGCTGCAGGAGCTGTCAATAAGTTGGTGGATATGGAAGAGCCCAAAGGAGAGAAATATTACTCACAATATGAAGAATAGTATGGTCAAAACGAAATGAGAAGTCACACAAAAACAATCTAGCCCTGAAGCACACAAGAGAGAGTGTGCAGATCCGGAGAGAGGTCGAGAGAGATAAAGATGGATCAAGAGGAGAGTGAAGGAGAGTGAAGGAGAGATGGACGCAGTGATGGAGAGCAGTAGGAGGTGTGCAAAAGCAGCCATGATGAGATGACTTCTACTGGAGCGTGAGATTGATGACTGCTTCAGAGAGAGAAGAGCAGATAGAAACTAGGGATGGAACCAAAGAGAAAAAAGTCCTGATGAAAAGAGTCATCTCCCGCCCCAGACCAATCTCCATCGTGATAAAAGCATGTTTTATCTGTGTGAAAGCAGGCCACAAGCCTCCACACACTCCACCACTATCTGTAATAGAATTGCTACATTTTTATGCTCATCATCAGTTATGCATGAAATATATATCTGTGTGTATGAGAGAGCCTGCCACATCAAAAGAGATTATGTCTGGGCAAAATAAAAGTCTGTTTGTAAAGAAGGATTAGATAGATGTTGGCTTTCAGTGACAGTGAAAATCCTGCAAATTGGGAATCCATCACTGCCTCCACACAAGCATTTAAACACCGGAAACACAGTCATTTGACTCCCATAAAGAACAGGTTTTATCGGAGTCCATATTTAGCGCTTAAATTCAACTCTTTATGGTCTGTCACTCTATCCAATTAAAGCTGTGATTCTGCTTCTCCCAGAACAAAAGAGAGGTTCATTACAGACAGGGCAAAGTATAATCTACAGATCTGATTCTGCTCATTGAACGGTGGAGAAGCAGAATATGAAGCTGCAACGGCGGTCACAAACAAACACATTTCATAAAGTGACTGTATGTTGTTGTTGTTGGCATAAAAACTCATGTTAATGTTGACTGTGTTTTGTGTTGACAGGAGTTGCCAAGTCCTGAGAGAAGAATGGAGAAGAATATGGCCTTGAGGAGAGGACTCAGTCCCGCTTCTTTTCACTCTCAGTCCTGATGTGAGATCCAAGCAGTCCATTTACTATCATTAATGTAATCTGCTTTGAGGACGCAGCCTCACGCTGCGCCTCCAGATCTGAGCCGTCCCATGGAGGCGTGGCCTTGCTCTACCCAGCGCTGCTGCCACTGAAGCCCAGAGAACATGCCTTCGAAGGTCTCCTGCCTGTACCTCCTCACAGTGGTTTGCTGGGCCAGTGCTCTATGGTACCTGAGTGTGTCCAGATCCTCCAGTTCCTATGTGGGACAGGTGACCATGCCCGTCCGCAAGACCCCCAAGGACACCAAGAACTCCACCTTCTCCAACATCCGCACTCGCTCCCTCAACCCACACGACTTTGGATACATCATCAATGAGGAGAAGAAGTGTGACAATGAGACGCCTTTCCTGATTATCCTTATCAGCACCACACACAAGGAGTTTGACGCCCGACAGGCCATCCGGGAGACCTGGGGCGATGAGAGCACATTCACTGATGTCAGAGTGGTTACTCTGTTCTTACTGGGCCGCAGCACAGATGCTGTTCTCAACCAGATGGTGGAGCAGGAGAGCCAGATCTTTCATGATGTTGTGGTCGAGGATTTCATTGATTCGTACCACAACTTGACCCTTAAGACCCTCATGGGTATGCGCTGGGTTGCCACATTCTGCTCCAAGGCACAGTATGTCCTAAAAACAGACAGTGACATCTTTGTTAACATGGAGAACCTGATCTACAGTCTCCTGAAGCCCAGCACCAAGCCCAGGAGGAGGTACTTCACAGGCTACGTCATCAATGGCGGACCAATCAGAGACATGCGCAGTAAATGGTACATGCCCAGAGACCTGTACCCCGAGAGCAAATATCCTCCGTTCTGCTCGGGCACAGGCTACGTGTTCTCAGCCGACGTGGCAGAGCTCATCTACAAAACATCACTCCACACAAGACTGCTACACCTGGAGGATGTCTATGTGGGAGTCTGTCTGCGCAAACTGGGAATACACCCTTTTCAGAACAGTGGATTCAACCACTGGAAGATGGCCTACAGCCTCTGCCGCTACCGCAGGGTGGTCACTGTGCATCAGATCTCCCCTGAGGAGATGCATCGAATCTGGAACGACATGACCAGTAAGAAACACCTCAAATGTTAGCAACAGTGGAGAATGTCCCACCGACCACCGTCCTGTGCTGGACCCTGAGGTCTGTCAATGCCGGGTCAATGCCTTTGTGAATCTTCTCTGACAAGGACAACAACTTCAGACTTTGAATTTGGCACAAAGTGGAAACGGATACAATTGGTTTTCCCCTGGTGTTTCAGTGAAGCCACATGTTTATACAAGACACAAACTGTTCCTAATAATGAGAACAGAACAAACTTATGACACTGCAGTTTGAACTCAAAACTCTTAAGGGTTCAGCTCCAATGATGAATGTTGCACAAGAATTTTGCGTTGTACTTAGGAGTGAGGTTTGCTTTTGGATGTAACACACGGCACAGCAGCTGTCTCCATGGACCACGGCGAGTTCAGATCTTACAGTCGACCTAAGCCCTGACAATAGAACAGCTGGTGCCATGTCCTGACGACTGGGAGCTGTATTTTATTGTTTCCAGATATTACACATATTTTCTTACAGAGCAGATCTTTGTAGAGTGCATAGTTCTTTCATCAGATGCACTGCAGATGGCGCTCCCCTGTGAATGTGACTTCTGTTTAGTGTAATGTGCAGTGGTTTGTCTGAGACGGCGTCGTGAGCAGGCTGCACAAATATCAGTCTATTACTTGAACAGAACAGCACTGTCGGAGCTATCGTGACAGCTATCGTGAGAGCTATCGTGAAAGCTATCGTGAGAGCTATCGTGAGAGCTTTAGACAGCGCTTACTTTTCCAGTGCTTTTGTTTTCATGAGTCCAGATCCAATAAAGTGCTTTTCTATGAGAATTGCAGATTGTACTTTTTCAGCAAGACAAGTGTTGTTGTGACTTGAATTAATTCACACTCAAACAAAACACACCCACTTGACAAGGATTAGTGTGAGTGTGACTGCTGCAGAAACATGAACCAACTCATTAGAGGCTGTTTTGATGGCGGCAGCTGTACTCGGTCTGGCATGGCGTCCCGACTCGTAAGATGTGCCGACGACCTCCCGCTGAGCCCTGGTGCCTCCTCGCGCCTGTAAAACGCAAGTGTCAAGCATCCACACACAGCTAACGATTGCCTGATTACCCCACGAGAAGCTGCATTTAAAGCAATCTAGAGTACTTCAATAATATCAATCAGACAACATGTTGGTAAAATGTTTTTTTGTATACCCGCAGGTCACTCCTGTATCATTAGCATTAAGAGAGAAGTGTGCTTGTCAACAAACACTGGAAAAATTTGCACCGCTGTTGCCCAGTCTAATTAGGCTGCCTCTAACTACAGGTATGTTTGTACAAGATTAGAAGTCTCATGTGGGAATACATCATTAAATATGCCTTGTTTTCTGCGGAGGAAACGATTCACAAAATTCACTTAGAGGCATTCAGGGCTAGTTTTATATTAATACATCTTCAAATGTGACTGAACTTTTTGCAACCAGCAGAATAATGCACGTACCTTTTAATGTCCTTGCTCAACTTTCATGTTTCGAGTTCTTACTCCGTACTCGTGCTTTACAAACATGGCACTGCTATTTACCACCATATTTCCTTGACGCCACCATCCTCCAAATCGTCCCCCATGGCATTTTGCAATTTGATACAAGATGCTGAGTAATAGAAAGTCTGTTTTGTAATTGGCCAAACAGCCCGGTGGTGGGGTATTATAAAAAAGGAGTCAAAGCTGGAGGAAAATGAAAAGGCGAGAGATTATTCTGGGGCTGTGCTAAATGAACCTTATAATGAGAGAGGCGGCGTGCTACACAATTGGGAACACTCTGCTTCCAAAACAGAAGAGTGAATGGGAAATTTTAAAGCATAGGACCCTGACGAAGACATGTCTTTCTCGGCCTTTCCATGACGTGTCCAAGAGCGCTGCTTTGGAGGCGGACAGTGGAACTAATAATCCACTGCAGTGAGGAGCAGGTGTTGTGAGAAGGGGATTTCATAAGCTCTAGCTCCAGTCGACACGGTGCCCTGAGCCTCCCACGGACCGTCCCGGGCAGGAAAACCACTACAAGAAAAAGCCATTCAAATATGTTTAAGACACACAAGGGCGGCATGGTGGTGCAGTGGTTCCTGAGTTTGATTCCTCCAGACAGGTCCTTTCTGTGTGGGGTTTGCATGTTCACCCCATGTTTGCGTCTCCTCTAATACTAAAAACATGTACAATAGGTCTGGCATGCACATACTGTATGGCAACCCTTCTTCCATCTATATCAGGTGTCTCCAACCTTTTTTACACAGAGAGCTACTTTCCCGGGACGATAAAGGCAGAGAGCTACTCCTTTAAGTGGCCCTTGGGAAAAATTTTTGATTATACTGGTATGAACAAGTCAGATATCAGGTATTTGATTTGTTCATTTCTAAATCCTTTGGCGAGCTACCTGACAGGGGGTGGCGAGCTACTGGTTGGAGACCCCTGATCTATATATATATATATGAAGATTACATAATTACTACTCAAACTCAAACACTTAACAATGACTTTACCCTTTGGAAAACTTTAAATGTCCATGAATGTTTTAAACCAAGCCATAATGACATTAGCAGAGCGTGAAAAAGGCTGCTAATGTCAGTGTTAAAGATCCCCATACAGAATCTCTGGCATGATCCTGTCTCCTTGTTAACCGCTTTCTACTGCACAATGCACAGCGCACCACAAACTGATATTTAGTGGTTTGATATTTACCAGCCCGGTTTTGCTCTCAAAGGTCAAAGCTTGAAGTATAGACGCGCCAACCAGCACACCAATATTTAATCTTCATAGTGTCTTCCAACATTTAAGGAGGGTGGAAGGAAATGGGCTGGTTTTTACCAACTTTTCTGCCCAACAAATCGATGACAAAAGGGCAAGGCATCTTCATTTTCTCGGATAATTTAAAATTCCCTGCCTCGCCATCCCTGCATATGTGCCTGACGTATAAACCATAGCTACTCTTGGATATGTAAAAACGCAGCTAAATATTGATAGGTATTATTAATATTGATAGCAGCTGGGAGTTAGTGTCCTTGTCGTTTGTGCCGCATGAATAATTTTCTGTCATTCCCAAAAGATAGAGCCGGTTAAAGTAGGAAGCATGCATCAAGGCTGGGAGGCAACAAAGGCTGTGACAGCAAAATCAGAATTTAGTGTGCAATAAATTAACTCTTAAAGCCCCTAGTGCAGAGGTTGGTCCCCCGTTAACCAAGGCATGTGCATATTTATGACCACGTGCATTCAAATCAGCCTGAAAGTGAAGTGTCATGAATATCAAAGTTGTCTAATGCACAAGCGAGCGAGAGAAAATAGTATTCAAAGATGTAATAAAGTATAATTTGGATGTCGTTTGGTAGCTTGTTAGCATAATTCTTGTTTCCCATTATATTAGCATCATCCAGTCAGTACGCGAGGGAGCTAGTCTATAAAAAAACCTCTGATTGACACTTATGCAGCAATAATGAAAAGTTTATCAAAATGTGGGTAAAATATATGGAGTCATTTGTATTCTCTTATGTACGCAAAAACTCCAGAGATGTGGAGTCAGTCTGTGTGAATTTATCTCACCGCTAATTTGATAGGAGCAGTCCTTGTTGTTTTAATTAGAGCTCAGTGAAATGAGGCTTAAGGCGCAAAAAAGCGACATTGGAATATTCTTCTGGGAAATTACTCATTAGTTATTGTGGCAAATCTACATCAATCAAATTCTTTTCAAAACATTAGCGCACGGTTTGATGGCATTTTCCTTAAAGACTGTTGTATCACATCCATTATGACCCAGAAAAAAAAACATAGGACATGCACAATAACATCACACTACTGGAAGCCACAATTAGTCTTAAAAGCTGCATGGGCCTTATGGTAAAGTAGACGACAGCTTTTTTAATCACTTGCAGCAGTAAGATTATGATCATTATGCATTACAGATGGCCCCGGTTACAGAGAAAAGGAAGGATTTAAATGGTATTTTAGTTTAGCGTACATTCATCTCCAAAGGATCTATTTTTAGATCTAAATTCTTGTCCATCCATCCACTTTCTTCCCCTTAATCTGAATCAGAGCCCAGCACAGCCTTGATCTTTCAGCGGGGGATTCAGGCAAAGAGGGGTCAAAGGAGCAGTATGTCAAAATCTGGCCAAAAGTAGTACTGCAGCCTCTCTCACTCTCCCTGACTCAGGTTGCCAGATATGCAGACGAATCCAGCAGAGTCAACAACAAATCTATAAGCAACAACTTTTTGCACAAAGGCCCGATAGAAATCCTGGTTTTATTCCTTATTTTGTCGTTAATGTTTTGACAATCATAACGAGACCTTTTTTGGTGTTGCACTAATCGCAGCCACATGGTACTGTACCAGTGAGATTAGCTTGACGCTGTGAGTTCTGGCGACCCGGACATCAAAATGAACAAGATTTAGTGGCTGTAAAACTTATTTTGAAATCCAAATATCTCGGCTGAACTACAGTAATCAGTTAAAGAACTATTGGAAAAGAGTTTGTTGGTTTATTTTGGACAGATTAAGGCCATTTAATGATGACTGGACATGAAAATCTTAACTATTGCTACTTTAAGTGTCTTACCCAAGGACACATTGTTAGCAGACGTCAGTGGGAGAAGGATCAAACCCATGTTTCACCCCTGTGTACTCTGTTATTGACTTCTTAGCCAACAGTATGGATTACAGCTAAGTCTATATTTATATCCATAGTTTCAGGAGAGGGCAGTGATGGACTCATTTGGTAATAAATCTCTATTAAAGCCACATGCAGCCCTTCACTTCACCCAGAAAAGACGACAGCGGATACTGGACAAAAAATACAGGTAAATAATCCCACCATGTTGCACATACTGTATCTATGCATTCTATTCTACAAGTTTTAGCATCATAGCTAACTGTAAATCTATAAAGACCCTGCTCCACATCTTGCAATTTCAAGCACGGCCTAATCAAAGCACAATTATCTATATGTATTTGGGCAGTACCTATTGAATATAAAGTGTAACGTTGTAATGTGCTGAGCTCGTATATCCAA